AGTAAATAAGGGAATTCTAGACTATCATGCTAAGTGAAATAAGTCAATCCCTAAAAACCAAAGGCTGAATGTTTTGTCTTATATGCAGATACTAATTCACAATAGGGGTGGGGTGGGGGTTAGGGAAGAATAGAAGTACTTTGGATTAGACAAAGGGGAACAAAAGGAAGGGAGGGCAAATGGGAATATGAAAGATAGTAGAATGAATGGGACATTATTTTCCTATGTGCGTGTATGATTACACGACCAACGTAATTCTATATCCTGTACAACCAGAAGAATGAGAAGTTATTCATGTACGTAAAATATGTCAAATACATTCTCCTATCATGTATAACTAGTTAGAACCAATTTTTTAAAAAAGAAGACCTCATGAGAATGTTAAAAAATAATAAAAAATAAAATTGCTCTTGAGTTCAGTGGTTGCCTTTGGGTATTTGATCTAACAGAAGATTTCTAACATAATCAGCCCAAATTGGCCTGACCATGAATTCTAGCAATTTCCTCTGTGTTTGTGGTCAGGACCTATCCTCCCTCTCTCTCCCCCCTTCATTCTGTCCCTGTCTGTCTGTCTCTGCACTCACACAACCCTCACAAACTGTTGTCCCAAAGGGTGTGATCATCAGTACGGATTTGGTAAGGCCTCTGGGTCAGCCTCAAGAAAATGGAAGCAGCAGTACCTCGAGGCTTCCTTTTGCTATCAACTACGGTCCACAGGGTCCCTCACTGTATTAATAAGCCAGCCACATTCAAAAGTGGCATGATCGGGGGCTTTTATTATCCTCAGCTTCCTCGTGAGCCCCACTTCCCTCCCCACTGGCTTGCTTCTGGTCCCCCCAGCCCTGAGAAAGCCCCTTATGACCTCAGAGTCACATTAAGTTTGACATCATAAAGAGGGTGTCGCATCTGACCTGCTGGGCCAGCACCATGCTGTAAAAACTAAGACCACAGACAGAAGGTGTGGGGTAATGCCTTTGTCTTTCCCCAAATCTGCATGCAGAAAGGGGGGAGGAGTGGGTGCATACAAGCCAATTTGAATGACCACACTGAAGTCGGCCATGACCATGGAAGGCATGAGATCGAAGTCCACAAAAGAGGGAAGTAGCCCATGAATGGGGTTTCTTAAGTCCAAGAGTCAAGATGATCGTGGTGAAAAATGTTATAATATTTCTAAGTATTCAGGGGTATGGATTTACAGCTGAGGCATTAGTTGACAAACTAGGAGAGCTATTTATAGACTTCTAAAGTTTGGGGTTTTTTCCCCCTCCCAAGGGAGATTAAAATGTGTCTTTCATTCTGCAGAGATGACTTTTTTTTTCCCCTTTGAAAGTGTATATGACCCGTAGCTCTATTTTGAGAGATGTTTGTTCCCCACGTACACAAGCTTCGGTCTCAAAGCCTAGTGGTGCCACCTTTAACCCAGTGTTCTGGTCCCTTCCTTTTGACCAGATTGTTCAGAAGCCACTGGCTGGTTTTTAAGTAGCGGGGTTGGACCATGTGACCTGTAACTTCATTTCTTTCTCTTTGGTTTTCTAAATCTTTGCCAGTTGGTGTGTTTGTTTGAGTCTTGATGGTTTAATTATAAAATTAATTTATGTATTTGAAAAAAAAACTAATAATTAATTTATGTATTTGAAAAAAAAAAGAACTAAATAGTTAAGAGAGAAAGTCCTACCCGCCTCTCTTCACTTGCCCTGAATCCCAGATTTTGAGAAGTAACCGCTGTTGGTCATTGTAAACCTCATCTTATTCCTGTGTTAGATATGCTTTAAAATAAATAAAGCATCACAGATAAAGTTGAGGACCCTGTATCACCTTTTTTGATCCCATTCTCCCCCCAGAGGAAAACAGCAGCCTATATTTCCATGTATGTTTTAAAACTTTTAGTACAAAGAGCACTAAAGCATTGCTCTCCAGGTTTAAAACTCATATTGTCAAGGAATAAAAACAAAATGGAGTCGCATTTGCTCGTGACACGGAAAACAGTCAGACGGCCACTGTTCATCAGACCCCTGACGGGCCAGCAGCTGAAGCTCTGAACCCTGCTGCAGGCCCCCCCCCCCCCCCGCCCCACTCCAAGAAAGCTGACCCTTAAAACACTGTTGACCCTGACCTTCTGCAAAATGGACCTCCTCCCCCAAACGACACAGGGACTGAGACCACACCCAATTCCTTTCTCACAAACAGCTTGACTAATCATAGTCCTAGCAGGTAATGCAATCTCCAGTCCTCAGAAGGGTAAAGCTAGAAATTCAGCTGCCATTTTGTAAAATCTTGGAGGACATTTCCCCAATGTTGCCTCTCTGATAATCTGTTCTTTTGAAATTTCTATTAATATAAAAGATTCTCAGTCTCTTTATACATATACCTACCTATCATCTATTTATCTATAATTTTTGGCTTTTGGCCTTTCTGTGCTATATTCTGGGGAAAGGCATCCAGTATTATCATTCACCCATTCTTTTCTTAAAGACTATTTTGTCTGCTCTAGAATTTTATTCTGTTAAGATGCATCTTTGTTTCAGTTCCATTGTCTTAGGTTTTAAAATTTTTTGTAGTTTTTTAAAAATATAGTTGTTATTTTTCATCTAAATTATTGGAATAGAGTTGGCAGTCAAACTTCTTAATTTTTCTTTGACATCCATTGCTTCTTGTGGCACTTGAGTAAAGTTTTGTAGTTTTATCTTTTTTGTCTTTGAACAGCTTAGTTGTAAGTCCTTTTAATAATAATTTAAAGTCATTTTTAGAGATGGCTCATAAAATTAATTTAAGTGCATTGACATTTTGATTGTTAATTTCCTCAACTAATATTTTTGGCATTTGTGTTCTTTTTCTTTGCTCTTCTGTTTTGAAGTTGCCTGAATCCACCCTCTTGGCCCTCAACACCAGGGACAACACATGGATATTTAGGGCATTGATTCCATGGTGATATTGTGGCTATCACAGAGACAAAAAGTGGTCTGGTTTAGTGCCTGGTTGTAAAGCCACAGGAGTGTCCTTTCACTAGGCAGGGCCTTCTTTCGGGGCTGAGACCTTCGTACCAGTTGACATCAGTCACTGAGGTGACTTCTTTTCCAGAGCACTCCTGGTCCCATTTGGTCCTGCTTTGCCGGAGCTGAGCTCCCACTGCCCCACCATCATGGGGGCCAGAACCAACAGCCATGGCTTTAGCCCTGCTCACCATTCACATTTCTGTCCATCTTTTATCAACCATGCTTCTGTCTTTTTTCTTTCTTTCTATGAATTATTTTATTAAATAATAATAACAAATTTTTTGGAAGATTTTAGTGGCAGGGAGGAACAGAAAACCATGATCTCTATCATCCTAATTAAAAGTAAAATATTTACTTCTTCAGAGCAATGAGAAGTTATGCTCCATTTATGTACAATGTGTCAAAATGCATTCTCATGTCATGTATAACTAATTAGAACAAATTTTAAAAATTTACTTTTTAAAATAATTTCCCCCATTTCCAAAATGTCTTCATGTTCATTATGATCAGAATCAGGATTTTGAAACAACGATAGTATAGCTTAGTATTTTCCTATTAGATTTTTTCTTTTTGTTTAAATGTTAAATAATAGAATATACCTATATTATTATTATTATTATTATTATTATTATTATTATTATTATTATTATTAAATATAGGAATCTTACATACTGCCCAGGCTGGTCTTAAACTTCTGAGCTCAAGTTATCCTCCAGCCTCTGCCTCCTAAGGAGCTGGGCCTACAGGGATGTACCACTGCACCCAACTTGGAATATACCTTTTGATGATTTATGTCTACCATTTATCAACAAATATTTGGTGAGGGCCTATGAAGTTCCAGGTACTGTGCTAGATGGTAGGAGTTTAGTAGTGACTGAAACAAAGTTCCTGCACAGAGCTCACATTCTGCTAGGGAGAGACGGGTAAAATGCAAATAGGCAAATATAAAATGGTGGGTACTATTAGGATGAAAGAAGTCTTGGGAACAGAAGAATATGATAGAGGGTTCTGGTTCTAGGGAAGATGGAGTGAGCGTCCTTCACCCTGTTTCTCCACTTAAATCAAACTATAAATCCTGGACAGAGTACTTAGGTGACCAATAAACTGACATGGAAATGGTCCCAAGAGAATTGGGGAGGGATACCAGAGTTTGAAGTTCCACCTAGTCAGCGATAAGTTGACCATTTTTCTCCCTGGAATTGACTGGCATGGAATCAGAGGTATCCCAAACCCACAAGTAAGCACCAGATGCGGGAAGCAGAACCCAGAAAAGTCTCTATTTTTGGTACTCTGCTATTCTTGGAGCCACTATTCCTTCCTCGTTTACCAAGTGTAACAGCCTCTTACAAATTGATGAGGAAAAATAGCCAAGAGATATGAACCAACATCAGATATTCTCAAAAGTTTAAGAAAATATGAAATAAATATATTAAAAAGATGTTTAATTCAACTAAGTCACTTACAAAGAAGCAACAATGAGATCCATTTCCTTTTGGCAGGTGTGTGCTTAACAATGTATTAATAATAATAATAATACAATATTAACATTGTTATTAATAATATGTATCAATAGTACAATAATAATGTATTATTAATAATTTTTTTTCAATTTTTTTATGAACATGTAATAATTATGTATATTTAAGGAGTCCTATTTTTTATTGCCTGCTCTTTCCAACTTGATAGATGCTCTTGGAAATCATACTCAATGTTAAGTAGGGTTTCCTGAAGCAGTTTTGGGATTTGGGTGGTGGTTGTTTTGGGTGTGATGATGTGGTGTTTTAAAAATGTAGTTTTAAAATATAGAGTTTTAAGACCTGGAAGGGAAAAGTTAGCAATGACATCTGATCCTTATGGTTCATGACTCCCTCCACCTTCCACTTTTCTACATTTATAAGTTGTTGATTTTATAGTTGGAAAAACCGCCCACGGCCCTGCCCCTCCAGCTCTGCAGGCACCTGGGGACCTGTCAAGTGACACCTGCTTTCCTTTGGTTTCGGCCTGTAGGTATTTCCTCTGGCACACGTGTGCAACGACACGAATAAGATGACACTGATCAATCCCCAAGGAGTCAAACTCAATATCTACAAGCAGAAAGTGGAGCAGGCCATTAAATCCTATGAAAAGTGAGTACTAGTCCCGACCGCTCTTCAGCGGACGCGGAATTTGTTTCAGCCTGTTTTCTCTCGCGTGCCCTTGTTTGGCTTAAGTTTGTGTTTGTTTGTTTTTAATTTGAAGCAGCTATTTAAAAATCATCCAACATCAATATAAGCCGCTGTGTAGGGACTTCTTATGTACCCGAATATTCCCAAGAGTTCTCGAGAAACCATCTTTCCTTTCCAGCCTCGACAGAAACCTTATGTTCCGTTAGCTTTTCCTCTTGGCCCAGTGAATTGGGTCATTTCCACATCTAACGTTGTGTAAAATGACTGTGAAAGCACCACAGTGACGAGATATAGAGATCACAGAGCCAGCCCTCTGTATCTGTGGGGTCTGCATTGGCTGATTCAATGACCCATGGATTGAAAATATGCAAAACAAAAAAGTTGCGTCTGCGCTGCCCATGAATAGACTTGGTTTTCTTGTCAGGACTCCTCAGACAATGCCCACAGAACAACTATTTACATGGCATTTACCCTGTGTTAGGCATTATAGGCAATTTAGAGATGATTTTAAGTGTACAGGAGACTATGAATAGGCTCTGTGGACATACTGGGTATGTCTTTTTATGGAAGGGCTTGGGCATCCTTGGATTTGGTATCTGGGGGTGGGCAGGAAGTCCTGGGACTAACCCCCATGGATACTGAGGGACAACTCTATACATATAGATTATTATTTGAAAGTTTTTGTATCTCCGGGCATGGTGGCACACGCCTACAATCCCAGTGGCTCAGGAGGCTGAAGCAAGAGGATCGTGAGTTCAAAGCCAGCCTCAGCAACAGCGAGGCACTAAGCCCCTCAGTGAGACCCTGTCTCTAAATAAAATTAAAAAATAGGGCCGGGGATGTGGCTCAGTGGTTGAGTGCCCCTGAGTTCAATCCCTGGTACAAAAAAAAAAAAAAAAACTTTTTGTATCAAGTTCAAGATGACCAAGCTGACTCAACAGTGCCATCTCCCACCCCAGCATAGAATTAATCCTTGATACACAGCTCTTAGACGTGGACTGTGCCCAGATTCTTCAGGCAAGTCTGCTCTTCTTTCTGGAAGCTGGGCTCTTGGTTTTTTGTTTTTTGTTTTTCTTTCTTTCTCTACTACATATGAGAAAAAATGAAATAAAAACACAAAAGTCAATGATGTAGCCAGGCCAGCATTTATTAATCTCTACTCATTTTGTGGTGGGCCTACTATGTGTTCAAAGTAAGTATAGGCACTCGTACATTGCTGGTGGGACTGCAAATGGTGCAATCAGTCTGGAAAGCAGTATGGAGATTCCTCAGGAAACTAGGAATGGAACCACCATTTGACCCAGCAATCCCACTCCTAGGTTTATACCCAAAGGACTTAAAATCAGCATACTATAGTGACACAGCCCCATCAATGTTTATAACAATTTAATTCACAATAGCTAAACTATGGAACCAACTTAGGTGCCCTTCAATAGATGAATGGATAAAGAAAATGTGGTGTCTACACACAATGGAATGTTACTCAGCCATAAAGAAGAATGAAATTATGGTATTTGATGGTAAATGGGTGAAACTGGAGACTATCATGCCAAGTGAAATAAGCCAGCTCCCCAAAACCAAAGGCTGAATGCTCTCTCTGATATGTGGATGCTAACCCATAATAAGGGGGAAGGGAAGGGAGGTATAGAAGTTCATTGAATTAGACAAAGGGGAATGAAGGGAAGGGAGAGGGGATGGGAATTGGAGAGACAGTAGAATGAATCAGATATCACTTTACTACGTTCGTATATGAACACACGACCAGTGAAACTCTACATCATGTTCAACCACAAGAATGGGAAGTCATACTCCGTGTGTATGATATGTCAGAATATACTCTACTGTCATATATACCTAAAAAGAACAAATTTTTTAAAAGTCAGAAATAAAATAAATAAATACCACTAAATTAATACATAAAAATGTATGTATCCCTTCACAGAAAATATAAATAATATACATAATTATTTTTTTTTAAAAAAAGAAGAAAGTACAGAGCTTGACTCCTGCCTGCAGGGAGTGCCAATCCATCCCACTGAGAGGCCTTGGCCTACCATGTCCATCACAGGCCTCTCCAAGCCCCCCTTCAACTGGAGCCTCTTCCATTGGGCCTCCCTTAAGAATCGAGGCCATGGTATGTGGGCTCCCTCAGCGGCCTCCGTGGGCTCCTCAGCTCAGGTTGAGGGCATCTGTTCCAAAATGCTTAGGATCACAAGTATTTCAGATTTGGGATTCTTTTTTTCAGATTTTGGATATTTCCCTATGTAACACGAGCTATCCTGGGGAGAAGACCCACGTCCAAATAAAATTCACTTAGGTTTCATAAACACCATATATACATAGCTTGGAGGTAATTTTGAGCAATATTTAAAATCATTCTGTGCACAAGAGTTTAGGGGTTTGGATATTTTCCACTGTGGTGTCAGGTGGGGAAGGTCGACAGGTTTGGGATTGGGAATGTTTGGATTAAGGAGGCCCCCGCTGTACTCCTCGGCACCTCAGCCTGCCCTCCACCTTTCTGTCACAGGTGGGACAGGCTCTGATGCTTCCTTTCGGGCATTTCCCGAAAGGCCTCCAGGAACGTAGCTCCTCTTCCTGCCTTGCTGCTGTCCCGCCCTGGGCCCCCCGTCCTTCTTGCCTCAGCACCAATCACCTCCTCGGAGGGGCCATTCCACGGGCCCTTTCTACTGCCCGCCTGCATGTGGCCCTCAAGGGACTCACGGCTACTGCTCAGTCCTCAGGCTTGCTGACCACCTCTCCTCCTAACCCGGGGCTGTTAGCTCCAGAGCCAGGGGCTGGCCAACCTTGTTTCCCCCTTATCTATTCCTCCTTGCAGGTGTTTGTATATTTGACCATTTTAATTCAAATTTGATATGATTCCAGTTTAGTTGTTATAATTTTTCAAAATCAGGTATTCCAGATGTAACATCATAATACCACTCAAGTTCTAATGTTGTTTTCTTGTGTGATTCGGATATTTGTGTCCTATAATTTGTACCAGTCTGTGAAAGCCTGGTGCACGGCCACCAGCTGGAGCTTTGGGGCCAGACAGAGCTTGTAGGTTTCCCTCGGGGCCCTGATGCTCATGCTGGGCAAGTGTATGACATTCATGAGCCTCAGATTCCTTATTTACAATAGAACTCATCTCACGGGGCTCTCACAAGGCCTATGTAAATCATATCTAAAGAGCAATTAATGTGAAGTATTTCCCCCTTTCCTTCCCTGACTCTGGTGATCGTAAAGTAACCATGAATACATGCGCTGTCCTTGTCACAAGGCTCTTCCCACTGGGCTCGCGTTTTCCCCAGGGCTTCAGGAAGGACAGGGACGCCCCATTCAAGGGCAAAAATGTGCTTCTTTCTTAAAAGCAAAACCCCAGTACAGATGTGGTAATGATTCGTCCCACTTCCTACTTCTGAGTGAAAAACCTTTCAGTCACTGCAAGTTCAACATCTCCGCTCTGAAAATCCAAAATCCAGAATGCTCCAAAATCTAAAAAGTCTTAAGTGCCCATATGATGCCAAAAATGGAAAATTTCACACCAGGTTTCATATGAAAGATCAGAGCCAAAATGCAGGAACACTAAAATATTCTATCAAGTTACTTTCAGGTTGTATGTATAAGGTGTATATGAAATATAAATGAATTCTTGCTTAGACTTGAGTCCCACCCCCAAGACTTCTCATTATGAGTATGTAAATATATTCCAAAGTCTGAAAAAAAAATCTGAAACACTCTGGTCCCAAGAATTTCAGAAAAGAGATACTCAAGTTCTGTTGTTACTTGTAAAGAATAATAATTTTAATATTAATGAGACCAACTCTAATGGGACTGGTATTTAATCCTATTTAGTATTGCTTTAATTAACATTGGTATTATGAAGATTATGTTCATAGTAAGTCTTTTAATATAAAAATTAATATTATAAAGAACAAAAATTTCTGGTCTTTCACATTCAGTGGTGCTTAAGAGTTCTGTTGGTATAAATATAGATTCTCTTTTCATCTTCCTCCACCTTTCTGGAGGTATATGAAATAGGAAAAGTAATTGATGAAGGGTTCCTCCCGCCATCCTCAACATTACATTTCTGAGGAGTTTCCCACCAAAGTAAGTCAGATGTAACTTTAAATAAACTTCATCTAACCTTAAATCCGTTATGATTAGGTTAGCAAATGGGAAATGGGAAGCTCATTCTTTGACCAAAATAATGGAATTTACTAGCCATCCTGGTCCCATTTAGTGGCCATGTGTGGTGACCTCCTGTTACAGTATTTCCAGAATTGAGGCAGCAATTTGGGCTTGTGTGTCTCAGCATGAGCTTTGCATATTTACAGAGCTGTCTGAATTCAGAGGTGATTTTTCTGATTGCAAGTTCTAAAGTCAAGGTCGCCGCTCGAAGGTCCACAGAAGTCTGGGTTCTAACCTGGCTCTTCGACCAGGCATGGAAACCTCTGCTTATGGTGGCTCATTTGCTAAGTTGGCTGCTGGCCAGACTTCTGAAGCATCATTATTTACAGATTGCTTTGCCAGTGAGTCAATTCTCCGTGCAAGAAGATTTGAGAACTAGAAATATAGTGAGCCAGTGAATGCAACCCCTCAACTTAATTTCACTCCCCCACAACAAAGAGGGAAACAATTCTTAGTAAAACCCCTGAATCAAGGGGCTGAACCAGTGTCAAAGAGGGACATCCCAGAAAGACCCTCCTCATCCCTCAGGATTTCCAAAGATGGCCACCCAACTCCCTGAAATGCTTCCTTGGAGATGAACAAAGGGAGAATAGCAGGGGTTACAATGATGTGCTCTCGGAAAAACCTCTCCTAAGGGGTTGAATTAAAATTCAGGACATGTGCTAGCTAATCGGATCCACATTCACCCATGGTGTCTGCAAGTTTCCAAGCTTGGCCCTTCTTTAGAACCTGGGAACAATGGACATGGAGTTATTTCTGGTCATTTCGTAGGTGACCAGAAATCTCTCACTTCAGCCTCTCAGTGCCAAGGGCAAGTAATGGTATCCTCGTTTTATTGATGAGAAAACATTTTCAAAAGTTCTGCCCCGTGGGCTCAGCCAGCAGCACAGGGATGGATACGGAGCTCTCAGCCCAGGCCCGTGCTGGGCGAGAGCCCTTGTCCACTCCCCCTCCTCACCACACTGAGCCCACTTTCAAGTGGAGATTTAAGAGGGGGTTGAATATTTCTTTTAAATAAGAGCACAACAAAATGCATACTATAAATCTTTTCCATAAGTCTTGGGAGCCTTGATTATTGTTACATGAACCACGTGAATAAAGAAACCCAATTTCCAAATTGACCCCAAAGAACCAGAACACTTCGGTGGGACAGAAGCACAGAGCGGGTGCATTCCCTCCTCCTCTCTCGCTGTCAGTTACAGAGCACCTACCTGGGTCCCACATGATTCTGTGCTGTGCTCAGGCTACCTCAGGGAGTCCCCACGGCTACTCAGGAGTTCTAACTGTTGCTGACAAAGTTGGGCACTGCCCAGAGCCACATGGCCAGGAAGAGGAGATGCAAAGTGAACTCTGTTCCGGGTTATGCCCACCTCCAGACTCTCTTGCCCTGTCCCCCAGGCTCCAGATGGGCAAGCAGGGCAAGAGAGCTCTACCTGAGGTGTGTTCTCAGAACCCTGCTCCAGAGGTGCTGGCTCCCATGGCTAGAAGAGTAACACCTCCTTATGTTGAAGATTTTTTTTTCATGGAATCCAGACTCACACTCCTCGCGGCCAGGGTTCTATGCCCTGCAGCCCACAAAGCCTGCTTTGGGGGTAATAACATAAGGACACAGAGCTGGATGAGACCCTTTGAATGAAGCATCACTGATTAGTAACAAGGAGACCAGCTGTAACCACCCGACAGGAACACCACTGGCTCCAACCTCCTCCTCTGCTCTTGGGTTGACAGTTCCTCTCTGAAGACACCATCGGTGATGGGCTTTGGTCTCAGCATGTTGACGTGAATGAGCCATGTGCTATGGGTCCCCGTCAGTGACCTCACCCAGAGCACAGGTGGTCAAGCTAACACGTGTCCGCATCCTTTACTTAACAACCTTTTTGCTCTGAAATTCCAAGTGGAAGAATCTACAGAGGCAAGATAAGGCACAGTCATGTTTTCCTTAGGATGTTTGGAAACTCTGATTAAGCTGAGCTGAGCCATTCTTTAATATTTGGTGTGATCGCCGCAGAGCCTGGAGGCTTCTGCACTGGTGCAGAGGGAGGGAGACTCTCAACGCCCAGTTTCTTTAATTTGACGTTGGCAGAGTCCAGAGTGATGGGGCTGGGCTTGGGGTCCCCACGCAGTGCCCTTTAGATCCTGGGGCCATACTTTTGCCGTGAAATGTATTATTGCTTCTAAATTGTTGTTGTTGTTGTTTTTTAAACAGGCGCTTGAATAAAATCGTATGGCAAGCATTATCTCAAGAGGAAAAACAAAAGTAAGCCCTTCTATTCCCTCCTCACTTAAAAAAAAAAAATTCAATGAAATTCGGGTCAGTGAAAATCCATAACTTTGAAGTGTATAATTCAGTGGTATAGAGAGAATTCAAAATGTTGGGCAAACTACCACCTCTTTAGGTGCAGAACCTTTTTATCACTGCAGAAAGTGAAACCTGGTATTCATGAAGCAATGACTGCCCACGACCCCTTCCCCAGCCCCTAGTATGCACTAGTCTGCTTTCTGTCCCTATGAATCTGCCTCTTTGGATGAATCATCAGAAAGGAATCAAACAGCAGGAGACATGGTGTCTGCTTATTTTACTTAGTTAATGTGGAAACATGATGCTTTTCAAAGCTCATCCAAGCTGTAGCATGTATCAGGGACTGCATACACACACGTATTGAAAACACACACATAAACACACACACACAGAGCTCTGTTTGCCTGTCCATTCTTCCATAAGTGGGAGTTTGGGTTGTTAGCACTTTCTGGCTATTATGAATAATGTCATAAATAACATTATGAATGTCCTTGTGTAGACGTCCCTATGGGAACATGTTTTCATTTCTCTTGAGGATATGGCCAGGAGCGGATTTGCTGCTCACGTGGCACTTCTATGCTTAACATTTTGAGGAGCCTCTGAGGTGTTGCCCCCAGGGACTGCTCCATGTTGTACCCCCACCAGCAGCATACAGGAATGTCCCACCAGTACTGGCCACTTTCCTTGAAACAAAAACAAAAACATTTAAAGTCATCCTAGTGGGTTTTAAGTGTGACCATGTGGCTCTAATAGACATTTCTAATGACCAATGATCCTGAATGTCTTTTTACATTCTTGTCCATCTGCATACTTTTGGTAATGTCCACACAAGTCCATTACCCATTCTTAAGCCAGGTCGTGTTTTGGTGGTTGAGGTGTGAGTCTTCTAGATGTTAAGCACTTACCAAACGTAGGATTTTCCCATATTTTCTCCCACTCAGTAGTTTGTATTTTCATGTTCATCTTAAACCCTTTTCCCGCCCACATCCCTTGTGTGGGTGGTGGGAATGGGGTTGCCCTCGGTGGAATGGGCTGGCTGAGAAACAAATGCTAAAGGAAATAAAACAGAGGAAAAACCACAGAACACAGAAAGTAGTTTCAAAGCTGGGGCAGGATGGTTAAGCTGATCAAAAAATCGAGCTTCTAGACCATGGAGCCCATGTCTGCCTTATTTATATCAGGAGACATCAAAGAGATTCTATAGAATGTTCTTCCAAAAAAAAAAAAGGTTAAAAGTGGGCTGTTCAGTTCTAGTGGGTTACGCCCATCTCTGGAGCTACTATGAGGAACCTTCCTAGCAGAGTGGAGGGAAAGGTCACGTGCATTGGGCAATCTATTGCCATGGGAGAGCCATGGAAAGTTCCCAATGCCAGGCCTCTCTCTCCCTGGCTGTCATGCCAAGAGAAGGTCCTCATGTATTTCATGGATGGCTTCCTGCACCTTTTTATGTCCAAAAGCTTTTAATCATTTGAAATCCAACTGATCTATTTTTCTTCTGTTTTTTATGCTTTTGGTGTCTTATCTGAGACTCCACTGCCGGATCCGAGGTCATGAAGAGACCCCACTGTTTGGTGTATGGTTCCAGCTCTCACATTAGGTCATCAATCCATTTTTAGTGCAGTTTTGTAGATGGAGTGAGGCAGGGAGCTGACTTCACTCTCCTATTGTGGCTATCCAGTTTTCCCAGTGCTCTTTAAGAGACTTCTTTCCTCCCTGAATGATTTTGATATCCTTGTCAAAATTCAATTAGCCATGAACATTTGAGTTTATTTCTGGACTCTATTCCATGCCATTGGTCAATATGTCTGATTTTATGCCAGTAGGGCACTGTTTTGATTTCTGTAGTTTTGCAGCATGCTTTGAAATTGGAAAGTATGAGTGCTTCACCTTTATTTTCTCTTTTAAAGTTGTTCTGACTATTCAGGGGCCCTCAAAAGTACATATGAGTTTGGATTTTTTATTTCTGAAAAAAAATAAAGACATTGGGATTTTGATAGGGATTACTTAAATCTGTAATCAATTTGCTTGGGGAGTCTTGGGAAGTATTGTGATCTGAACAATATTAGGGCTTTCAGCCCATGGATACAGGATGTCTCTCCATTTATTTAGGTCTGTAATTTTCCCTCAGCAATGTTTTGTAGTTCTCAGTGTGTAAGACTTTCATCTTTGTTATTTTGTTCATTTGGATTCCATTGTAAATGGGATCATTTTCTTAGTTTTTGGTTGTTCTTTGCTGGTGTACAGAAACACAACCAATATTTGTGTTTTGACCTTTCATCTTGCAACTTTGCTGAATTTATTAGTTCCAGTGTTTTGCAGTTTCAGGAATCTATAGGATTCTCTGTATATGGTAACATGCCATGTGCACATAGAGTTTTACTTCTTCTTTTTCAATTTAGATGACTCTCTTTCTCTTATCTAATTGATTTGGCTAGAATCCTGTACAGCATTAAGTAGCCATGAAAGGAGACATTCTCGTATTGCTCCTGAGTGCAGTCTTCTTTCACCACTGAGTGTAAAGTTTTTGTTTGTTTTTGCACTGGGGATTGAACCCAGGGCCACTTAACCACTAAGCCACATCCCCACCCCTTTTTATATCTTATTTAGAGACATAAAAAGTTGCTTAGGGCCTCACTAAGTTGCTAAGGCTGGCTTTGAACTTTTGATCCTCCTGCCTCAGCCTCCCAAGACGCAGGGATTACAGGTGTGTGCCACCTCACCTGGTGAATGTAATGTTTTATTATGTTTAGGAAATTTCCTTTCATTTCTGCTTTGCTGATGGTTTTTATCATGAATGTGGTGTTTAATTTTAAGTGATTTTTCTGCAGCTACAGAGAGGATTGGTATTTTACCCCTTGCCTATTGATGGGATGTAGTAAAGTAATTGGTTTTCTTAGGTTGAACCACTCTTGCATTCCTGGAACAAATCCCACGTGGTCCTGGTGTGTACTCCTTTGACTGCTTTGTTGGGTTTGATTGGCTGGTGTTTTGTTAAGGAAATTATATTATAGTGTTTCTACATTCATAAAGGAAAATGGTCTGAAGTGGTCTTTGGCATCGTTGCCTCAATTTGTGATCAGGGTAATTCTATGACTACTGACAAGTGTTCCCTCTTTTCTATTCTCTTGAAAAGTCTAAGTAGGGCTGGTGTTCATTTTTCTTCATATTTTTATATTCTTCATATTTTCTTCATATGTTTGATAGACCTTTCCCATGAAGCCATCTGGTCTGGACTTCCCTTTCTTGTGGGTGAGGAGGAGGAAGGTTGATTCCTCATTCAATGTTTTTAATTATTATAAGCTATTGAAATTATCTGTTTCTTCTTGGTCAGTTTTGGTCATCTGTATATCTAGGTTATTTGTCCATTTATCTGATTTTTTGGTGTATAACCATTCATAGTCTACAATCCTTCTAATTTTTGTAACTTTTATGTCTGTTGTCTAACTGTATTTGTATATGTGTGTCTGCTCTACTCTTCCTGTTTCTTTCTTAGGCTGACTTTAGGTTTGGTTTTCTCTTCTTTTTCTAGGACCTTAAGGTATAATGTTAAGCTGTTTATTTGAGATCTGTTTTTTTAATGCAGTATTTACAGCCAAAATTTTCCTTCTGAGCACAGTATAGCATAAGTTTTGGTATATTGTGTGTTAATTTTTATTCATCTCAAAGTATTTTCTAATTTCTCAAGTGATTTCCTCTTCGACCTGTTGTTCTTTGTGATATTTAATTTTTATGTATTTGCTAAATTTTCAGCTCTCTCTTTGCTATTATTTCTAGTTCTATTCCATTGTGATACTTTTGTGATTTTGATCTTGTTTTGCTTTGTTTTGGTACTGGGGACTAAACACAGGGGTGCTTTCCATGGAGCCACACTCCCAGCCCTTTATATTTTTTTATTTTGAGACAGGATCTTCCTAAATTGCTTAGGGCCTTGCTAAGTTGCTAAAGCTAGCTTCAAACCTGCAATCCTCCTGCCTCAAGCCTCCTAAATTTCTGGGATTTTAGGCTTGCACCACCATACCTGGCCTGATTTTGATCTTTTAAAGTATTTTGAGAATAATCATGGATTGATATATGGTATGCCCTTGGAGAATATTAAATGTGCACTTAAGAGTATATGTTCTGCTGTTACTGAATGAGGTATTCTGTATATGTCTGTTGTATAACTGATTTATTCTGTTTTATAATCTACAATTTCCTTTTTGATCTTCTCTAGATGTCCTATCCATTACTAGAAATAGTCTCCAGCTATTTTTGTACAAACTGTCTGTCTCCCTTTAATTCGGTTAAGATTTGCTTTATTTATTTGTGGGCTCTATTAATGGATGTGTGATATGTTTATAATTTGTAGATCTTCTTGATTTAATATTTTTATCAATATCAATCATTATCCTTTGCCTGTTGTAACAGTTTACAACTCTAAGTTTCTATTGTCTAGTAACAGTTTAGACACTCTGGGCCACTCCTGATCCCTGTTCACACAGAATATCATTTTTCCATCCTTTTACTTTCAACCCATTTGTGTCTTTGGTTCTAAAGGGAGTTTCCTTTAGTCAGCATTCGGTTGGGTCATTTTTTTTTTTAAATTCTGCCAATCTTTGTCTCTTAATTGGGGAGTTTAATCCATTACATTTAAAGTGTTTACTAATCATGGAGGACTTCGGTGCTATTTCTATATGTGTGGATGTACCATTTATTGTGCTCCAATATTTATATTTTTCTGGTCTACTATTTTGATTGCTATTCATTTCTTTTGCTGTGTACTTTTTAGTTTTTCTTAGTAGTTCCCTTGGGGATCACAGTTAACACTAAACATTCATAACCCTCGAGTGTGAATCAATATCTTATTAGTTTCCATAGCAGACATTCACTTTCTTCCTCTGTCACTTCATGTCCTCCCTTTATGTAGTTATTTCCACAGATTACCACTTGTGTATTGTGTATCCATTAACATAGTTATA